GCCCAAGTGCTCCTGGTAAATTAAATGCAGAACTACTAGGTGGTCCGAGACTAGATCCTAACCCCATAGAAGCAAGACTTGTACTTAAATTTCCAAGTGGATCCACTTGCTTAGAAGAAAACAACTAAAATATTAAAATACGTATTGACATAAATTATAACAAATATAATTAACGTTTCAAGATTTGTACAAGTAAATACATACCTGTCCTCCTAATGTCGCAGGATTAAATGGTTCTAAACCTCTGTGTCTTAAAACTCCTGGCGGTGGTGGTCTACTCATGGTGCTTTTATTTAACATTAAACTGCAATTTTGTACCATTGTCATTATTGCTTCGGAACACTCTTGAGAAACACTCCTGAAAACAAAAAATTATCCAACAATAAGTTTAAGAACTTACAGAAAAACATTTACTACTAAAAAACTTACCCAGCACACACTTGCAAGCAAGCAAGTATAGTTGTAAGTGTTTCTTGTGGCAACTGACTTGCCTTGGGCACTGTAGGATCTTCTTTAATACCAGGGCCCATTACTTGTGGACACCGTCTTTGTAAAAATTTAACACAAGCAGCAACAAACACATCTCCATGGTCTCTAATCTTATCAGTCAACCATTTTTCTAATTTCAAATATTCACGTCGAGACGCCAGACATGCTAGGTCAATAACAAATGGAAATGATTGCGCATTCAACAACGCTGATAATGCTTTAAGATCTTGCGCAACATCTAAAATGCGCGACAGTCTTGTCTGATCGTGATCGCCACGTATATACCATTCAGCCATTGCATGCATAATAATAGATTTGATTTTCACATTATTAGCATGCCACGCATGATGTAAAATCACTGCTGAATTAGGATGATTTCCAAAAAATATAGGCATAAGTGTACTTAACAATTCTTGTCTAAGTAAAGTTATAGGCGGATTAATTTGTAGTAATGCTAAGACAAGTACGTCCGGACAATGTTGAATAGGCCACTTAAAGATTTCTTGAACTGGTCCATACAAACCCCTCTCAGCAATATGTAAAAGTAATTCAACAAAGTACAATGATCTCCATGTTTGTGCTTCCTTGCTATCTCCTTCTGGAGCTGCCTTTAATACGTCAACAGTAACTGAATGGTATGGATAATCAGCGAAACAAAATATGTCAGGACACTTCAAAATTTGTTGCACTAAAGAAAATTGACCCTCTACATTTTCCCAATGTCGATAAAAAAGTTCTACAGGAAAGACATCTGGAGGATATCCTTGATGTTGCAAACCTAATCTTAATCCCATAATTAATAAATTCAATCCCTGTCTATCTTTGATGATAAACTCAGCATGATCCAATTTCACTATAACTTCGTTCCATAGTATTGTTGATTGCTAAAACAATAGAAGAAAGAAAGAAAATAAGAAATAAAGAAAAATATACAAATAAATATTGGATTCATGAAGAAATTGAGTTACATACCGTTTCCTTTAAAGTCTGAATAAAAACTTCAACATTCCAAGTGGTTGGAGGGATATTTTCTGATGTTTTTTCTTTATTAGCATCTTGAGCAGAAGCAGAATTTCCCCAAAATGATTGTAAGCCTCCGGCATCATCGAGATTATTACAACTACGTGCCATGTGAGATAAAACTCGAGCAATGCATGCTGGAGATATTTCTCTGGCTCCTAGGCCAGCCAACGCCGATCGACATTCTTCTACGCTACTAGTGAATCCATATCCTAACTCCATGATCAACTCAACTAACGAAGTGCCATCCTAAAATAAACATTTTCCAAATATAATAACACCTTCCACAATTGCAAATATAAATAATAATAATTATTACGAACCATTTGATTGACAGCCATGTTTAATTCAATTTTGGCTTGCGGAGTTTCCCCGTCGCCTGGATACAAGAGTGGTGCTAGCACCACTGGTACCAGTTCACGGGGAAAATCGCGCCTTAAATTCTTGAGAAATTTTTCCTTAGCTTCAGAAGAGACACCAAATTGATTAGGAATATGAAAAACCTGCGAAAGTATAAGATGCAAAACTTCTGGCGATGAATCGTGTAATCCCTCCTCGTGATTCTTATTGCTTGTCTCCGAATTAATATAATTTTTAATTAATTCGGGTAATTGTTTTTTAACGTATTCTTGAGACAATGTACGAATATCAGTATTTTCTGAATGTTGTAGTACGATAGCATAAGCAACTTCTTGTACTAATGTCAGTCCCAGTACCTTCTTCAGGTGTAAAAAAAACTGTGGCGATGGATTCAAAGTCTAAAAAAAAAAAAAAAAAAAAAGAGAGAAAATTTAATGTATACAAGCTACATGACAAACTATATTATTCTAAAAAAAGGTTAGATTTCTTTTTCTTTTACTATCAACTTATACAGGTTGTCTGAGGTTTTTCTAGCTAAACAGTGTCAGCATATTTTATGCATGAAAATAAAAAAATAATATTATACAAACATAAATCACTTAAGTCTTCATTAAATATCACTTTAAGTGTAACATAATCGACTGGAAATTTAAGGAAAATCCCATTACTGAGTAAACATGAACATTTATAATTTAAGTTATAACTTTTTAACATGTTGAGTGCAGCGCCGATTTTGGTATTCTTTCTGCTCAGGCGGCAGCGAGGAAGCACTTGCACTATAATATGTGCAAATCTCAACCACTTCTTTACTTAAAATATTTTAATAAAGTTCATTAAAATTATAACATAATTTTTTTAAATGTCATTAATAATTTAACCCTTAACAATGCCAGTCTCACACAGCAATATAGACCATCAAAAAGTTCCCTGTCAATCCCTAGAACCCACTCCGTTCAAACAAAAAGTTTACTAACAATCCCCAGGGACTGACGTAGCACTCAATATGTTAATAAAGCTTTAAATGATTTATGTTCATATAACATCTTTTTATTATTTTAGTGCGTAGAATACAGGAACACTATTTGACTGGATAAATCTTTGCCTGTCTGCATATTAAGACAAAGATAACGCTTGATAAAATATACTGTATTATAAAATGGAAATAAATAGGACATGCAAAAGTAAACCTTCTGTTGATGTAAAGGATGATCTATTGCAAAACAGAAGTTAGAAATCAGAGAAGGCTTGCTGAGCAGATTGGTACACTCTTGCTTTAGAAGCTGTACTTGAAAATAATCCTTCGCACTTGATTCCGGTGGCTCTCCAGTAGAGAAATCGACGTATGAGAGCAAAGAGCGTAGCAAGTGTCGGTCTGCCTCCAGACCTTTCCACTGTACCAACTGAAATAGAGAATAGTGACTGATTTTATAATTAACAATTATTTCTTATAAATATTACTTTACATGTATATACATACATCAATATGTAAAAATAGAATAAAACAAGTATACTATATGTAAAAATAAGTCGTGAAATAGCTTACACAGTATGTTCTCTCTCTTTCTATTTCTATTTCTTTCTCTTTCTCTTTCTCTTTCTCTTTCTCTCTCTCTCTCTCTCTCTCTCACACATAACACACACTCTCTCACACACACACTATCTCTAGTCTAAACTACATTTAAAATAGCGCAAAAATATATTTTAAGATCGAATTAAGAAACGTAACCGATGTATCGCAATACCAATGATCGATATACTAACGGAAAAATAAATTTCGCACGAGAGGTACAGGAATGAAAAAACGTTCGATCGATTGAATACCTATTCAAAAGAATACGTTAGAATGTGTATCGTTTGAAGTTAGAAACCAATTTAAAAATATATAAGGCGCGTTGTGGTTATGAAACGCGAAAAGAACTACGTAGATGGGAAATAATTGGCTGTATACCAATGATTAATTATTCGAGATCATAAAGTAATTTGTAACGATAAAATACGAAAAAAAGTATCGAATATAACGCTTGGAAAGCATATTGTGCTATCATCGAAACGACGTGATCGTATCAGAAAAAGAAAGGCGGGAGGAAAAGGAAGAGAAAGAGAAAAAGGAAAAAGAGGAGAAACAGAATGAGGAAAAGGAGGAGGGAAAGAGACGTACAATAGAACAACAGGTCCTTAGACCTTTCTTCTTCTCCTTCTTTGCTTTCTTTTCCCCCCGTAACCTGTCCCTCCGCCCCTCACACTCTTCACTCTCGTGCCCCGCCATTTTTATTTTTTAATTTTAACACTTACAAGTGATATTTCCTTGCAGCTGTCCCGAAAATTTTTCTTATTCAAATTGGCAACCAAGTAACTGATTTGTGACAAAGTAAAAGACAACGAGTCCAGGTTCATAGTTCCATGAATACGACCTCGAAAGCTTCAAACACGTTTGAAGCTTTCTTCGGTATCCACGAATTGCTTCCCCGGATTCTTTCTTCGTAAAAAGCATGAAAACTACATTGGCACAATCCTGCGACCAACATCGGGATTAATATTTTGAAATACTATTTTAGATTAACTTCATGGCGAGCACAACAGAATAATACTGAAAACTTGACACACAGAGCAATATTATATCACACATCACCACTTACACTTTATAGCACTCCACTGACCTCTTCAACTGGTTCTTCTAAATTCCTACTTGAATTAGTTAATATCAATAATTTCGACGATTTGTCGATAGAGCGCACTGTACCGAACCAATCAGAGCTGTCCGACATACATCAATTGTGCAACTAAATACATAAATATTTTATTTGTTTATCAAATTTTCATTATACACACATACTTTTTCGTTTATTATTAATATTAGATTTATTTATAGAGGATAAAAAAGAATTTGATATTATTCCTAAGAATGTTCTTTTTCTTGTCCAATAATAACAATTATGTAATTTCCAAAGATTTTTTATTGATTGTAAAACAAATTAAATATGAAATTTAAGTAATTAAGTTAATGGTTATAGAGGATATTTGTTTAAAAATTTCGTATTAATATTATATCAATTTGATTAAATCGAACGTATGCGACGTCGTAAAGATTACACAAATCATACTTCCGTGACAATTATTGTGACTTCTGGAACGCATTTCGAGCCTTGATAGAATCATCCATGGGGTATAGAATTCGACTTAATAATGGTAACTTTATGAACGTTAGAAAAGAAGTTACTGGAAAAGACATCTATTTGAGAATTGCGTGCTAGATTAAATAAAGGCACATTTTATATCGAATTAAATAAATAAAATTAAATTGTCAGTATGTCTGACTGGGATACAGCACCGATTACTTTACGGAAACGTGCACCTAAAGCATCGACGTTAAAATCAGAACAGGTATTGTATTAAATCTGTGCTGTTTAGAACATATTAGAAATATATTACATTGGATTTTTATTACTGTTTATTTAAAAATAATTATCTAGATAAGATTAATGAGGATTTTTCAAATTTCATCTTTTAATGTAAACCTAGCCAAGTAGTACCAGAATAAAACAATTGAAAAAGTTTGATTTTTTTAAAATTAAGAACGACAGATAAACAAAAGTAGTTATCAAGGGAAAGAAAAGAATTAGGAATAAAAAAACATCTACGTTTGACCTAATCTTATCTGTGCCAATAACTGTATCGAGCCTAATTTAACATCTTTTTTCTTCTTATCAAGAATAATTATGTAAAAGAAGTTGTGTAACAATATTTATATTTACAGGCAGTGAATGCAGCGCGACGTCAAGGTTTTGCTGTTGAAACACAGGCAAAATGTAAGTTTTGTTTTTCCAAGATCCACAAAATATCTTCGAACCTTTAAAAAAAAGATAAACGAGTATCAAATCAAATATTTTGATCAATTTAGACACATTTAAAGCATACTAATATCATCTAATTATCAATTAAACAAACTAAAAAATTTTATGACATTTAAATGAATAATCTTATTCTTGTATTATTTATAAAAGATCCATCAATGTTTTAAATGTCCTTTGGTTTATTTTTTATATCAGGGGGTGGTGGTGCAAATAAACAACACGTTACCACAAAGAACACTGCCAAATTAGATCGTGAAACTGAAGAACTTAAGCATGATAAAATTCCTCTTGATTTGGGAAAGCTTATACAGCAAGGTCGACAGGGTAAAGGATTGTCCCAGAAAGATCTTGCTACGGTAATATTGTGTAGCTCGGATATATTCGTTTATATCTGCAAAATGTATTCTAAAGCTTCTATTAAAGATTGGTTTCTATGTACATCATAAAAAAAAATAATACAATTATAAACATAAGAAATTTCAAGTAATTATAAAGTATGATAATGTTAAAAGTGTTGAAGTAAGTCGTCATTTTATGGTGGGTTTGATTTAATTAGCTAATTGTTAGAAAACAAGAAAAATTAGCTAATTACTTCTAAACGGTAATCATTTATGATGTCTTGTGATTATAACTTGATAAATATTTGCTATTGTATTAATATTTATTCTAAGTGATTAATCATCCACATATTTTTTTTTTGCAGAAAGTTAATGAAAAGGCACAAGTAATAAATGATTACGAGGCCGGTCGTGGAATCCCCAACCAAATGGTTATTGGTAAAATAGAGCGAGTGCTTGGCATAAAATTGAGGGGAAAGGATCGTGGGAAACCGTTAATAGCCCCCGGGACGAAGAAGTGAATCTCGGGGGAGTTGGAATCTTTACTTTCTATTCTTATATATTGCTCCAGCAAAAAAAACTTCTAAGAAAGACGGTAGAAAAAAAAGTCATTGAAATTACCTATCTTTCTTTCCTTCGGTTATTTTGATATTACATGCTACTGTTTGTCTCTTTGCTCTGTAAAATAAAATAAGTGATATACGAGTATATATATATATATTAGAATATCATAATTACAAATTCAATAAAGTTTATTCAGTTACCTTTATATAAAACATTTATTAAATCTATTTAAATTATAAATTACTAATTGCATCAAATGTTAATTAAATAGCATTATAAATCAATGATCAAATAAAGTTATTAATTTATGATAGAATGCCGAATAGTAATCAATCATTCGACTAGCATAAAAACCGTGTATGAAATAATCAATCATTAGATATTTTGTACGCATACATGTTGTAGTATAATACTAAACTTTTCTCTTTACGTATAACTGCATATTAATATTTGTAATTATGATTATATACGAAACATTGAGGTATGTATGAAAGCAAAAACTTTATTTATATATCACCACAATAATTCATATATCATATCCAATATTTTAATCCTTTCTTAACGGAAAGCTTCCACTGGTTATACCATCTTTGGTAATAATTTTTATGCTTATCCCATCGCCAGTGTAAATATCTCTTTCTGCAGCAGATATAAAAACATCTTTCAATACTAACAATGCTTTTTCTTGTGTAAGTAATTCTGGTGTAACACCTTCTTGATTTTTATATCCAATCTGAAAATCGCATCAAATAAATATAAATATTAACAGAATTCTATTTAATTTTATGTTTCAACCTTCATTAGTATACCTGATTATCAAGAAGCGGTTGTAAAAGTGCACCAGCAGATCCTCCAGCTCTGTACATTGACTTTTCGCAGTGCCCTATAGGATCGTAACTGTAAACGCATCCTTTACCATTCTCATCTAATCCAGCAAGTACATTGCTTACGTAATAAGGGAAAAATCTTTTATAGTAAAGCATAGCTGAAAGCATTTGAGCTACAGCTGGTGTTGTCATCTTCTTTTGATGTTCATGCTCGTACATCTTTTAAAAATAATTTTATTAAATAGTTCTGTTATAAATTAATATATTTACATATTATAATCTTAAATTACCTGCATACGAGCAGCTAGCAGTCGAGTTAAACTTAATGTATCGCACCAACAACCAGAACAACCTAGGACAGTTGTATCCGACAAAGAAAACAATTTTTCCTGTTTCCTAGTACAAATAGAATATCCTGTACTAAGTCGATTATCTGCAGCAATTATACAAAAATCTTCACCAGCAAGAGCAACGACGCTTCTATAAAAATTAATGTTCAATACTTAATTATTATGAAACATTATATTTACTATACATATATACAACAAATATTAAATGAATTTTAATGTATTTATGGATATATATATCCAAACGAATGAATATTAAATAAATTATATTTATATTTGAATTTTGAAAATTATTGACTAAACAATATTAGGTTAGATTTATATTTTACCCTCCATTATCAGCGTAAGGGCTGAAATTTACTTGTTTAATTCCCTCTCTTTCATAATCAGGCAAACCCCGTGACATTCCATTCGGAGAATAAAGAGCCATATTTTTAAAGAAAGAAATATTAAAATTTTTAAAATATTTAAAGACCAACTGTGAATGACAATACACTTTCAATCGAACTTAATTAATTCGTACATATGTCGCACCATAGAGCCTATATACAAGGAGGACGATCGCCGTGTTATAAATGTAAGTACAATATTCACAATGAAAGAATGATTTCTATTACCACTAGAGAGCGCGAGTTGTCCTCCTTGTATACAGCTCCGTTTGTCGCACACTCGATAATATCGATAATCATTGCGTGGAAATATGCTGATTTACTATTGGTCGTGGTAGTTTCGTATTAGCCATTCACGTGCGACGAATATAACCTAACCACGTGTTTCACATATCGATGAAAACTGTCATTAATGATATAAATAATTCTCAACAGGGTTTAAAGACATTTCAATCTTACAATAAATCATTTATTTATAATATGCAAATAAATAATATTGCTTACTCAAATATTAAAAAATTAGATATATGTTGATAAAATTTCAGAGGGACAGTTTTCTTTAATTCTGCCTTATCTAACCATTGATATTTCAAATCATTTGCAACAGATCCATTTATGTATCGAGCTAAATAATAAAATACCTTAGCACCGTACTTGCCGCTTTCTTTATTCGGCTCTAAATATTTATATTTATAGAAACCGATAGGTGCATTTCCATAAAATTTAACCATTAATTTTGTACCGCAAAATTCTTGCAATACTCTCTCCGCTGCCTTTAACATTGTAAAAAATTTTCTTAATATTATAGTTTTATTGAATATATTTATATATAATAAAAATAATAATAATAATGCTTACTTGTCTCATCGTTTCACCTTCTTTCCTAATACCCTGAGGTGGAATCCAGGATGCATCACCATTGATATTCTGTTCTACGAGTAAAACTAACGTTCTGTCCAACTTCTGCTGAAGACTAGTCTTGTCGTTAGATTTATCATAATCTAAAATGAAAAATGTATTAAAAATATAATACAATAATCTATTGAATTATTACTGAATTTATATACCTGTAACTTTAGGTGCAAATTCAAAGTTTTTTAATTCTTCTTGACACATATCTTCAAATTCTTGCATTGTTTGTGAAGAAACGACATCCATATCTGCAGCTGTTACATCCAACGGTTGCTCTTTCTTGAGTTTTTCTTTTTCTATTTGGAGCTCAAAGTCTGACTTCATGCTATTTTCATATTCTATTCTCTTTAACAAATTATAATAATTTGATTCTAATCCATTCATTGGTTTTGTTATAATTGGATGACGTTCAAGACATACAGCAGTTAACAAATCCCATTTGGATTTATTATTTTTAGTTATGCTTATAAATCTTTTACAATACCATTGAAAGACAGGAATTGTATTCTTAACTTCTCTTAAAATATCTGTAAAAAAAATTAATTTTATTACAAAAAATATATTACTTTAAAATAGAATATTATTAATATATAATTTTGTTTACTTAATGAAACATCAACTTTCAATGATGCTTTAAAAGCCTGCTTGAACATTTTTTTCTTCTTTTAATATAACCTAACAAATGTTAACTTTAAATTTAATTAAATGTGACTAAGTAAAATAAATATGATACACTTTTTAATATATATATATGTTAGGTTTATAATTTAATTTTTTTTAATTATATTCTTCGATAAGTATGCTATGTTTAATTCGAAATTAAATAAATATAATAATAAAGTGAACAGCCAAACATATGGCCACCAAATTGACTTCTAAAAACCGATACTAGAGACGTTGAAAAGTTTGGTTATATTACACTTTCCTTCAGTTATATATACAAGACGTTTTAATTTATTTTTATATTTAAATTAAATATGTAAATAATGAATTATATAACCTTTTTTTATATAATAAATTAATTTCTTTTTAATATTACTAGATTAATTTAAATTGTTTCTATAAAAATGAAATATCGGCATTTAAATTAATCATGAAGACACTATTTGATTTACTGTATTAATTTTATACAATATACACGAATTGAATTGTTTTTATTCATTATATTTTTATTTCAGATTTGATTCTACATTTTATAATGGGTGTTGTACTATTATAACCAAGAATTAAAAAGTAAAAGACAAAAACATTATTATTAATTTACTATATTAAAATAAAAATAAATAAAATCAATTTCTTTTTGTAATCAATTATTTTGGATTACAACATGAGAATCGCAATAGAAGGATGTGCCCACGGCGAATTAGAAATTATTTACAATAGCTTACAAGAGATTGAAAAAGTAAATGGGAAAAAAATAGATTTATTAATATGCTGCGGAGATTTTCAGTCGACAAGAAACTTATGTGATCTAAAATGTATGGCAGTACCTGATAAGTATAAAGACATGTGTACTTTTTACAAGTAAGTATTAACGATAAGAAGTTACAATGTCTTAATAATTAATGAATTAATTGTATAAATACCTTATAGATATTATTCAGGAGAAAAGGTTGCTCCAGTATTAACTATTTTTATTGGAGGTAATCACGAAGCATCCAATTATCTTCAAGAATTACCATATGGTGGATGGGTTGCTCCTAATATTTATTATCTTGGTTATGCTAATGTTATAACAATAGGTGGTATTAGGATTGCTGGAATTTCTGGCATTTATAAGAGTCATGATTGGATGCAAGGACGTCACGAGAAACCACCTTACACTAAAAGTACAATACGCAGTGTTTATCACATTAGAAATATAGAAATATTTCGATTAAAACAGGTAACTGTTTATATATATGTGTATATGTATATATGTATTTATTAACACAATTGTAAATTATATATATATATATATATATTATTTACAAGCAATTTTTTATTAACAGATCTCTGGTAAAATTGATATTTTTTTATCTCACGATTGGCCAAAAGGAGTAACTAAGTACGGAGATGAAGATAAGCTATTAAGAGACAAACCATATTTTAAGTATTTATCTTTTTTTGCACTTCGATATAGATTAAAATATTTAAAAATAACATATAGTATATCAAGTATTATATCCTAGGACTGATATTGAAAACAATGCACTTGGTAGTCCAGCGAACATGGAACTATTGCAATATCATTATCCATCATATTGGTTTTCTGCGCATTTACATTGTAAATTTGCAGCTCTTATCCCTGAAAAAGATGGAACTAGAGTAACAAAATTTTTAGCATTGGATAAGTGTTTACCAAAAAGAAAGTTTCTTCAAGTTTTAGAGCTAGATCATAATCCTAATGTACCATTAACTCTCAGTTATGATTTAGAGTGGTTAACTATTCTATTTTTAACAAATCATTTACTCAGCGTTAAGAATGGAATTCATTACATGCCTGGACAAAACGGCATAGGCAGATGGACGTTTACACCAACTGCTAAAGAAAAAGAGAACGTATTAAAGAAATTTAATTATGATTTAAAAGTACCAATTAATTTTGTACAAACTGTTAAACCTTATAACCCAAATTCAACGAACTGTCATTATGAAACACCTAAATTGATAGTAAATGATCAAACTACTGAATTTTGTAATATTTTGGGCATAGATGATCCTTCAGTATTATTGCAAATTATACTAAATGCAAAGGAAACAAAGGTTAGTGAAACATCAATGGAATCGACATTAGAAAGTACATTAGAATCTAGTGATTTCTGCGTCACGTACGAAGAAGACAGGGCATGTGGGGATAGTGCAAACAATACTATAGACATGATCGATAAAAATTATAGCGATGTACTACCAGTAGAAAGTATAAAATCTGATAGTAAGTATTTTAAATAATAATGTATAAATATAGTTAATAAAAAAGATTATAAATACATACATTATTCTATTTTTTTGTTTATCTTACAGGTAATAATCCCATTACACAGGTAGAACCAAATTGTAAAAAGTTTAAAAGAAGAAATTATTCTATGTATTCCAATACTCTTTAAATGTGAGCAAAACTTCTTTTTCTCAAAAAGACAGAAAGAAGATCATTGACGTAAAACCTTACATAGTTGACTTATTCCAAATCTCCATAAGCATAATTACATATTTTTTGTAGATTATAACTCTTTAAAATATTATACAGAAATATATATCATGAAAATATACGTATAAACCAATTGATATCTTATCTTGATTAGTAAAAATCAATTAATCGATTGATAAATGTGCATGTATATTAAGATAATATTTCTATTATATTTCAATGATTTACAAATTAATCAAACTACATTACATTACAATACATTGCACTGTATATTACATAATGTTTTATATATATAT